ACGGGGTTTCACCGTGTTAGCCAGGATGGTCTCGATCTCCTGACCTCGTGATCCGCCCATCTCGGCCTCCCAAAGTGCTGGGATTACAGGCTATATAGTTATTTTTTACAAAGTACTTTCATACACGTCTACTAAGAAGACAGGAGGATCCTTTCTTTTGAAAGGATTTCATTTCAGAAGCCCCTAAAAACTTCAACGCTATTTTTTAAAATTCACAAATAAAGATTCAGGCAGACCACTCAGTACATGCCATGGTCCCTGGTTATCTTTCAGCAGGTGACTGAGAAAGAAAACATGGTAATGTTTATGAAATGGTGGGGTTCTTGTAGTTTCACTTCAGCATATCTGCCTCTACTGTATTAAGATGATGGATTAACTTATTCTTGATTGGGGCATGTAAAACAATATACTTTTACTAAATAGCTACTGAGAGACGAATGTGTTTCCAGACAAACTTAAAAGACTGTTCAAACTGAATAACCTCTACCTTAATTGTAACTACATTTTTATAAAAATTCAGCTGTAAGGCAAAAACAGACTTCTTTGGGCCTACCACGGGCATTTTGTTCCCGTTAAATGAATATTCCAGACAATGGGGGCAACAGAGTCCTTGGCAGAGCTTCCCTTCTAACAAAAAGTAGCCCAAGAAATTATTACTATTTTTTCTAACAAAAAGCAGCCTGAAAAATGTAGCTGCAAACATAGATTAGCGAGCTGAAAAGTGCAGGGGAATGCCGGCAGCTGTGCCAATAGAAAAGGGCTACCTGCGGTCAGGCGCGGTGGCTCACGCTTGTAATCCCAGCACTTTGGAAGGCCGAGGAGGGCGGATCACCTGAGGTCGGGAGTTCGAGATCAGCCTCACCAACATGGAGAAACCCCGTCTCTACTAAAAAAAAAAAAAAAAAAAAAAAAAATAGCTGGGTGTGGTGGCGGCACATGCCTGTAATCCCAACTACTCAGGAGGCTGAGGCAGGAGAATCACTTGAATCCGGGAAGCAGAGACTGCGGTGAGGCGAGATGATGTCATTGCACTCCAGCCTGGGCAACAAGAGCAAAATTCTATCTAAAAAAAAAAAAAAAGGCTATTACCTGGGGGCCAGGCATGTACATATGGAGGGTCCATCTTCCCTGTTTTTGTTACCACATGCACAGTAACAGAGAAATGAGCAACATGGCGCAGCTCAGGTAGAAAGCTTACCTGAATAATAAAAGATTAGGGTGGGGCTACCAGAAATTCACACCCTATGCAAATGGCACACCTGGTCTAACCAGTTTTTCCATGACTTATATAAATCAGACATCACCTCTTCACCATCTCATCTATAAAACCTTCTGCATTTTGCAGTGGACCAGCAACACACTTTTTTCCAGGACCTCTCTCTGCAGCAGAGAGCTATGCTAATATACTATAAACTAATAACATCAGTTGCTTTGGGGGTGTAAATGGATGAGAGGAAAACTTTACTATAAATCCCTTTGAATTGTGAACTTTGTAAATGTATTTCCTTTTCAAAATAAAAATTAATAGTCCATATTCCCATAAAACAATATAATATAAAGCCATGATTGTAGTGTCCGCACAAGGAGAGGTAAACAAATGACTAGAAGAGAACATAATAATAGTTATATATAAGAATCTAATATACCAATGGAAAAAATGATACACATATGTGGAGAATAGACGTTTCAGTTGAAAAATGTTACTGAGGTATAAATCCCTTTAGGTCCTTTTCTCACTTTATAAATAAAAAATAAATTCCACAAATATTTGAAAGTTGAATATTAAAATTTCAAACCACAAAAATATTAGAAAGTACAAATAAACGTTGGAAAATGTCTCTGAACATATTTGGTAGACTGTAGATGCCCAGTAATTAATGTAGAGACGGAATTGAGTTTATAATTCTGTATCTTATAGTATATCAATTTTGACCATTTGGAGAAGATTTGTTGTCTACTATGTTTAAGGCACTGTGTTTTATTCACTAAAAAATATAAGTATATAGAAGACTCAGTCTTTCCACCAAAGAGTTTATAAATCACTCAGAAGAAAATACATATAAAACCAATCATAATATAAAACAGAACATGACAGATCAAAGGTAAAGTTCTAAAAAATGTGGACAAAAGAAAGCTTGATTCAGCTTGTGAGATCAGGAATTACTTTCTAAAGAAGGTTTCACTTGATCTGGATTTTAAAGGATGAATAAGGGCTGGGCATGGAAAAATGAGGGTGAAGAGCATTCCAGGCACAGAGGCGGGCAAGCAAAGGGCAAGTGTAAGGCGTGATGACTATTCTGGCTGGGATATAAAATGGCTAACTTTCCTTGAGAAAGAAATTGAAAAACAGTGTAACTCAAGTGCACATGGAGCACTTTTCATAATAAATCATGGCTGTAAAATGAGTCTGGATAAATTAAAAAGGTTGAAATTATACAATCATTTTATTACTCATATACTTCTTTTACTAATCCAACCACAATAAAAGGAATTTAGCAATCAATAACAAAAGTAAATTTAGGAAATTCACAAATACATGGAAATTAAACAACTAACTCCTAAATAACCAATGGATCAAAGAAAAATTCTCTGAAATACAATTTAAAAATGCTTTGAGATGAATGAAAATGAAGACACAATGTACCAATACTTATGAGATGCAGCAAAAGCAGTGCTTAAAGGAAAATGCATAGCTGTAAACACCTATATAGAACGATCTCAAATCAGTAAGCTAAGCTTTCACCTTAATAAACTGGACAAAGAAAACTAAACTAAACTCAGAAAGCATAAGAAAGAAAATTACAAAGACTGAAAGAGAAATAATAAAATAGAGAATAGAGAAAATCAATGAAACAAAGGGTGATTCTTTAAAAAGATGGATTAGAGACTTAAATGTTAGACCTAAAACCATAAAAACCCTAGAAGAAAACCTAGGTATTCAGGACATAGGCATGGGCAAGGACTTCATGTCTAAAACACCAAAAGCAACGGCAAAAAAGCCAAAATTGACAAATGGGATCTCATTAAACTAAAGAGCTTGTGCATAGCAAAAGAAACTACCATCAAAGTGAACAGGCAACCTACTGAATGGGAGAAAATTTTTGCAATCTACTCATCTGACAAAAGGCTAATATCCAGAACCTACAAAGAACTCAAACAAATTTACAAGAAAAAAACAACCCCATCAAAAAGTGGGCAAAGGATATGAACAGACACTTCTCAAAAGAAGACATTCATACAGCCAACAGACACATGACAAAATGCTCATCATCACTGGCCATCAGAGAAATGCAAATCAAAACCGCAATGAGATACCATCTCATACCAGTTAGAATGGCAGTCATTAAAAAGTCAGGAAACAACAGGTGCTGGAGAGGATGTGGAGAAATAGGAACACTTTTACACTGTTGGTGGGACTGTAAACTCGTTCAACCATTGTGCAAAACAGTGTGGCGATTCCTCAAGGATCTAGAACTAGAAATACCATTTGACCCAGCCATCCCATAACTGGGGATATACCCAAAGGATTATAAGTCATGCTGCTATAAAGACACATGCACACGTAGGTTTATTGTGGCACTATTCACAATAGCAAATACTTGGAATCAACCCAAATGTCCATCAGTGACAGACTGGATTAAGAAAATGTGGCACATATACACCATGGAATACTATGCAGCCATAAAAAAGGATGAGTTTGTGTCCTTTGTAGGGACATGGATGCAGCTGGAAACCATCATTCTCAGCAAACTATCGCAAGAACAGACAACCAAATACCGTATGTTCTCACTCATAGGTGGGAATTGAACAATGAGATCACTTGGACACAGGAAGAGGAACATCACACACTAGGGCCTATTGTGAGGAGGGGGGTGGGGGGAGGGATAGCATTAGGAGATATACCTAATGTAAATGATGAGTTAATGGGTGCAGTACACCAACATGGCACATGTATACATATGTAACAAACCTGCACATTGTGCACATGTACCCTAGAACTTAAAGTATAATAATAAAAAATTAAAAACAGATCAACAAAATTAGCAAACCATTAGTTAGACTGACCAAGTTAAAAAGGGAAGACTGTAATTACTAAAATCAAGAATACAGGAGAGTATATTACTACTATCTTTACCTAATTCTTACCTTTACTGCAGTGGCTGAAATATAAAAGTCATTCTATAAATGTTCCTTGAGTGAGTGGGCTGTGAGAAGACATTAAAGGTCTCCTGAGCAGAGACATAAGAATGAGACAACACTATAATCAATAGAGGTGGCTACTAAATGCTTGTTTAGTTGAGTAGGGAGTAAATAGTGTTTACCAAAGTATCTTTTGCATCAGACATGAATTTGGGTCCCGGCTCGCTCACTTACTCTCTGAACATTGGTTAAAATGAGTGTCACAATACTAACTCATATGGTTGTTTTATAGGTTAATTAAGGAGATGTATGTAAAGCATTTAGTACAACAGTAAGTGCTAAAGCATAATTAGCATTCCATGCAGGATACCTGCTATTACTGTTACTGTTGGCACTATAATTATCATCCTAGAAGTTACTCTAGAAGACAAATTAAAACTGCATAATCACACTGTGTTCAGTATATATGTAAAGAAAAATAGGAAAAAACATACATGGTGTCTCCTTTCTCTCCCATTCAAGTCAACATAAAGTTTTTACCATCACTCACATTTCATCAATTTTTTATTTAAGTTCTCAGCATTCTTGGACCGTTATATAACTTTATATCTCTCCTCGTTTTCTCACATGTGTATTAATAAACTTTTATTTCATGATATATTCCATTTGTAAAACACTGTCTTTTCTATTTAATGCACAATGCTAAACTGCTACCCACTTGAGAGAACCTGAGAATTGAGTAGCTTGGCACACTCCCAAGGCACATGTGCAAAGAGAGTAAATTTTCACAGTGAAATTCATAAGCAAACCATATGTTCTTTTAAACAATTTTTAAAAACTAAATTACACTTATATGGACTATTTCATTATGGCTTAGAAAGTGGATAAATAGAAATGCCTATTTTTAATTATGAAATTTTGAATGTAAAATGCACTTTTCCATGAAAGTTATGTTATTAACGGTGATTGTATTTGTAAAATGGCTTACAGAGGCTGACACAGTAATGTCAGATGAATTACATTTGTAATTTTTCAATCAGGTAATTCCATTACACAATCAGAGCACAGCTGATATTGACCTAGTAAACCAGACCAAATTGAAAACATTTAAATAAATCTCACATCTAATTCCATGATATTATGCATGCTTTTTTCCTAATTACAAAGATAATACAGGTTCATGTTTTATTTTTTTGTTTTTTTTGAGACTGAGTCTCACTCTGTTGCCCAGGCTGGAGTGCAGTGGTGTGATCTCGGCTCACTGCAACCTCTGCCTCCGAGGTTCAAGCGATTCTCCTGCCTCAGACTCCCGAGTAGCTCGGGCTACAGGCAATCACCACCATGCCCAGCTAAGTTTTGTATTTTTAGTACAGACGGGGTTTCACCATGTTGGCCAGGATGGTCTCCATCTCTTCACCTCATGATCCACTCGCCTCAGCCTCCCAAAGTGCTGGGATTACAAGCATGAGCCACAGCGCCCAGCCCCATGTTTTAAATTTTTATATAACTGAGATAATACTATATATATATATATATATATATATATATATATATATATAGTTTTGAAATTTGCTTTTCTTCACTCAATAGTATATCATAAGCATTTTTCTATATTATTAATTATTCTGGTACAACATATAATATCTTTTAATCACTTCATTTACTATCATAGTCATTAATATTTGAGTACATATCAATTGTTGAAGATCTGTGTTGTCTACAGTTTTCCACTATTACAAGTAATGCTAAAATGAGTTTTATCTTTTAAATACCATGAATACTTAGTCTTTATTTATACATATTTTTAGGCAAATGCATAGTCTATAGTGCTATCAAAAGTTGTGCCTGTGTCCTGAATCTTAAACAATGTAGTAAAGTTTATAGCCCCAAGGAAGAAAGACCAGGGTACTTTCTCAATCTGCCCTTAAATTGAACAGATGCATCCTACTCCCCAGATGTCTGGCTCCTCACCTCTGAAACTGAGTGCCTTGTCCTAGGTCAAAAAGTGCTTCCTCATAAATATTGGAATAAAATGATTAGGAAATGCTTGAACTCAAAGAAGAAAAGGGACTAACTGGCCAGATGCTTTGGTATCTATCAATTTCACTTTTAGGAAAGCCAGTGTTCTCTCACCTCTAAAGAATAATGCTGGCTGGGCACGGTGACTCACGCCTGTAATCCCAGCACTTTGGGAGGCTGAGGCGGGCAGATCACCTGAGATCAGGAGTTCAAGACCAGCCTGACTAGCATGGTGAAACCCCATCTCTACTAAAAATACAAAAATCAGTCGGGCATAGTGGTGGGCACCTGTAATCCCAGCTACTCAGGGGCTGAGGCAAGAGAATTGCTTGAACCCGGGAGGTGGGGGTTGCAGTGAGCCAATATCGTACCACTGCACTCCAGCCTGGGCAACAGAGTGAGACTCTGTCTCAAAAAAAAAAAAAAAAAAAAAAGGACATGGCAATGGGAGAAAGAAGCACAGGAAAGAGCAAACAGTTCCAATGCCAAGTTAAGTGGAACAAATCTGGGAAAGTTTTGATAATGAAAGCAGAAAATTTCAATAATGAAAGCAGAAGGAGAAGAAGAATAGAGATATAAACAAAATGGAAGTGGCTCTCATAGTGTGTAATTCTGGGTCCTCTCAGACTTAGTCAGAGGAACACATGAGTAAGAGATTTACTAGGGAAAAGCATGTGTGGAAAATGAGGAGAGAGCTAGGAAACCCTGAGAAAATCCTTAGACTGCAAGGTAGGTCTAATATTGAATAAAGGAAAAAGGGAGGAGGAAAAGAAAGAGGAGTGTTGGGTGCAGCATCTATTTGAGCCAGGCTATCAGGGAGTTCCTGGGTTAAACTTTTGCATCAGAGGAGTCCCATGCCTTCCAGAAGCAGGCCTGTAGTAGTATCCTTGCCACACTCAGTCATTGCCTGAGAAGAACTACAGGAAGCATGGTCTTGACACAAATAGAGTGGGGTTTTAAAGCACAGCATCTGGAGCAATTGATCAATTAGGCTCCCTGCAGTTACATATCTGAAAGGCTCATTTTCATGGCTGTCATACACTAGATACTCACGTACATACTAAATTCCAGAACAGAACCACTACTCTATTTTATAGTGATAAAATTACAAGGGGCACCTATGTTGGAAAATTTAAGTACTAAAAAATGGAGATAAAAGGCTAACATTTGAAAACTATCAATAATGAAAATTACCCAAACAGCCATCCATTGTTTCTTACGAACTTACTCTAGGAGCTTCTGTGCATCATAGTATCCAATTGGATGAACGGGAATACTTGGAAGACCAACAGCCTCTGCAATTCCACGCCTATAAGCATATTCTGAGAAAAAAAAAATTGCCATATTTCCAGTAAAAACTCAGTTTCATTCAAATGGTTCTCTGTAAATCACATTAAATACATTCTAATGTCACATTTGCTAGAATTGTTAAAGTAAAACAGATTAAAAGTTCAAATATTAGCGAGAATGCGGAGCAACTGAAATCCCCATACATTACTTGTATGAGTCTAGTCTAAAATTATACAATCACTTAAGATAACTCTTTTGAAAAGCAATGTCAAGCAGAAATGTACACTACGGCACAGCAATTCCACTCCTGAGTATTTACATTAGAAAGATGAGCACATGCCCACAAGAAGACGTGTACAAAATTGTTCATAACAGTCACATTTATATTAGCCAAATATTAGACAAAGTCCAGGTTTCTAACAGAAGAATGAATAAACAATCCATAGTATAATCCCACAATGGAATGCTAATCAATCATCGAAAGAAAAAAACTAATACATACAATGTGATGGAAAATCTCAAATTACTACACTGAAATAAACAAAGCTTTAAAAAAAAATCTACTGTTTGATTCCATTTACTTGAAGTTCAAACCCAGGCAAACTAATACACGATGCTAGATATTAGAAAGTGATTGGTTCTAGGGGACACAGAGAAAATTGACCAGAAAGGGGTACAAAAGAACTTTCCAGAGTGATGGAAAGGCCCTTATATCCTATTTTTAGTGACATAAACACATGCAATTTGCAAAATTTATTGAACTGAACTCTTAAGATCTGTGTATTTCATTGCATGTAAACTCTACCTCAAAATAAGCACACACATTCTATCATTTCTTCAGATTTAAGAAAAATTAGAGCTGTTTTTCCTTTTTTTTTTCTGTGTTTTTAAAACAATCTGATAAGAAACTTAGGTAACTGCAAATCCGTATTCCTTCTGTGCATAAAATGACATAATAATATGTTGTGTGGGATTTGTTTTCAAATTCTCTAGAATAATAGCAAAAAATTGGAATGATAAATAAAACAAGATTGACAACATGTTGATAACTGTCTCTACTTTCATATATGTTAGAATTATGCCATAATAAAAAGTAAAATTAGAAGGAAAATAAAAATGTATAGGGCACAAAAAAATAATTCAATAAACATTAGTCTCATAGAAATAACATAATTTTCCCCCTAAAATACCATCATTCAAATCCGAAGAAAATCAACAGAAACATTCCAGTTAATCTCATTTTATTTTCATTATTTTGACTTTGCATAACTAATAAAGCTTAGGCTAAGCTGCATTTTTTAAAACTTCGAAATAAAAAGGTGGAGTAAATAAAGTTCAGGTATATTTATGTAATTTTGCTATAAGGTAATATGTATCATTTTTTAAAAAAGAAAAAAAATTCTGACAATATATTACATTCTAAGATTTACAAAACCAAAAAAAAAAAAAAAAAGTATATAATCTTTACAGGAGTCTATGATTTAAGAGTAAAACCAGATGAAGACGTAAACGTCACAGATAACTTGGCAAAGTATTTCACACAAGTTTTAAAAATTTAGTTAGCTTTAAACCACACAAACTTAATGATCACAGATTTTTGTAAACATCATCAAATAGTTGAGCACATTCAAAATAAATCAGCTCCCTTTGTTAATGTTTTACAGGGGAGCCTTTCAGCATAGGACTCGTATGTGGACTCTGTGAGCCAGACTGTCTGAATTTGAATCCAACTGCTCATTTAGAGGAGGGGTGATCTTGGGCTGACTTCTAGTCTCACTTTCCTCCCCTGTCAAATAAGAGATAATAACATCCCCTAGCTTTAGGGTTGTTAATGCAAGTAAAATGCTGCCATTTAGGAAATACTCTTTTAAAGTTATCTCTGTTATCTTATAGCAATGAAGCAATATGCATTTCCTGGGCTCTATATCCTAAATTGGCCATTTAACAAGTTTATGGAACTTCTGCTCTCCTGTCCCTTACCCACAACTGTGAAATCCAAAAACACTGTGAAATTTGTAAATCTGGGGGGAATTTATTTAACAGCAAAACCTGATCTGAGCTGAACTCATTTGAAAGCAAAATTCAACTTGAGCAGACATAAGCCTGTTTATATTCCTTATTCCCCGCCCCCCACTTACTACTTAGTGTAAGTATTCATACACTCTGCAGCAAAAATATTTATATGCTTTTTCCTCATATTCTGTCCCAGGCCCCTACATCACTGTTATGCAAGTTATGGTATATGTGTAACACCATAATGTTTTTTAAATATCTGAAAAAGTCTGAATTCGAAAACCCACCAGGCCCAGGTTTCCAAATAACGGGGTAAGGGACCTGAACCAATCATTTTAGAGCTCAAAATTCTTTCATTCTTAAATGCAAAGAGAATAAAAAAAGACATGCTTAGTCCATTGTGCCAAAGGAAATTCTATAATAAAGTCTCTTTCAAATGTTAAGTTTCCTGTTATATTCAAGGATTGATCACTCACCATTTGCTGGGTAACCTGGTGTGAGAGGGTCTCCTGCACCATTCAGATTTAGGATATTTCCACGCTGGACACCACCTCCAGGAAGATTCCAACCATCTGGATAAGACTTTACCCCAGGAGCAAAGTAGTCAGCAGGGTCTGAGTAGAGAATGACTCCTTTGGCCCCTGCCAGCTGGGCATTTTTAACCTAGAAAACACAGTGTCTTTCTTTCCTTATTTTAAACTGGTTGTTCCAGATTCGGTAACATCAGTTTTCAATATTACACTTAAATAACTAGTAGAACTTTATCTTCAAACTTTTGTCATTAGGCCTACAACAAAGGATATCTCAGAGAGAATTTCCCTTTTCTTTTTGCTACTATAAGCTCCAGAAATCCTCAGAGCGTCAGATTTGGTAATGTTCTTATTAGTGGTAGTGAGTATTTGCTTTTTCCTTCCTCTAGCTTAGAAGTATAATAAGCAAGTAGATCCCACAGGCCAAATTCCTATTTGTTCTATAGTCAAAAGGGAATTTTTTAAAAGTTAATTTCCCACTAAAAAGAAAAATATATTTATTAACTAATAAAATGAGAGTAATATTTAAATTTGCTATGTATAAACTGTTTGCCCTCATTATTTATAACAATTCATACTACAATTTAATTTAGTAAATATTTTTGTAGAAAATATTTAAAACAAAAATACTGAAACTTAATAATAAACCCAGTGCGTGTTTCTTTGTAGGCCACAGGCATAACCTGTAAGCACAGAAAAATTTGTTCTGTTCACCCTAACCATCTGCACTGGCCAAATTCCAATGATCAAATTTAACCCTGGGATATAACCTAGTAAATGTAAGCTTTATGCCGACCTTTCTGTAACATGGGCACATCACAGAATATAAGAAAATCATCGTATTCATAAAGTTTTAAGAAAATGATTCTACACATGTAAAACCCACTATGAGGGAGAGGAAAAAAAGATGATTTTTTACCTTATTTCCTCTGAAAACTTTCCCATATCTGGCAATTACAATTTTCCCAGAGCAATTGATTTTCATGTCCCGTTCCAATTTAAAGAAGTCTTCAGTTCGTGCATAGTTAACATACACTAGATCGCCCTGTTGAGATCAGGAATGACTTCATGTAAGTCAGATGTAAAACAAGGAGGTTTTTCTGCATGGGGACTGCTGGACATTTTTGAAAGAAGGAGGAGGTTAGAGCACACAAGAGGGTCAGAAATGTATGAGCTCCGAAGAAGAGATTCAAGGGAAAAGTGAATTTAAATTGAGAATGGAATTAGATGGGCTAGAAGTATATGAATTAAGTAATATTTGTTTGTATTTGTCCCACATTTAGTGGCTATGAAGCTGAAGCTACAGAAGCACTCTCCCACAGAAAAGTATTATACATATACACATTGTGGCACGCAACATGAAGGGGTCCAGATACCCTAGGCTCAGAAGCCCTTAATGAGATCTTTCCTTTCTTCAGAGTGTGTTCACAGGGAGCAGTTTAATGGTTCTTAACAACTACCAAGTAAAGAAAAATAGGTAACATCACTGGTTTATAGGTCTAATTTCAATCATTAATGTGATGATGTGCAAATCTTATATCATATTTGAGTCTCAATATTCTCATTTGCTAAATGACCTGCTAGATTAAATCAGTGACCTTCCAAGCTTTTTTTGCTCACCTGTTCCCCAAATTAATGTTGGCAATGTACCCCTTCATCTGAAATTTTAAATGTTTTATCATACCTTTAAGTAGCTGCAAAGCATGCAATATCTGGCTTACTATAAATATTAACATTTTTAGATGAAATTGTATATAACTTTTATATCAATCCAAAGGAATTTAAAAACTATATTTATTTACTATTCAACATCATCAATTTTAAAAAATACATGAACATGCTCTTCTTTACACTCAAAATTTTGTCATCTCTTTTTTTCTCTTGAACTTGTATATTGTCCACCTCCCTCCACAGAATTTTACTGTAAAGTAAAATATATTTGTACTGGGCACTAGGATGAGCTGTCCAGGTTCATGGTCAATGAGGGACTTTTTGCTCCAGCTGCAGGGAAGACTCTCTGCAGACAACCTTCATCTGTCAGCCCCTTCAAGGATTGCCTCAGGTATAGACAGTCCCCTTGCTCAAGGTCATGTCCTTTCCTAGAATGCCACACATTCAGTGACTGATTGATGTGAGGGTATAGAGACCTGGACATCTCAGTCTAACATAGGACAATTCTGAGAAACTATTCCAGACCTCCTTATAGGCTTAGCCAAGGCTATCCTTGAGCTGGCATTGCAGGGTGACTTCTCCCTCTGCCTAATCCAGCTCTCCTTCTCACAGATGTTGATCCCAAGAGAACACTCCATAATTATCAACTAGCATTCTAAATTTCATTCCAGAATCTATTACCTTAAATATGGGTATGCTTGAAAGTCTTTTATTAATCACTGTCAAATTTCCTTGAATCAGTATATCTATATAAGTCAATTTTTTAAAAGAAGTATTTATTTTTGTGACAGATTGTGTTAAGAAACAGCTTCAGGAGTAAGTTATAATTATAGGCCAGGTATGGTGGCTCATGCCTGTAATCCCAGCACTTTAGGAGGCTGGGGCGGGTGGATCACTTGAGGTTGGGAGTTCAAGACCAGCCTGGCGAACATAGTGAAAACCCATCTCTACTAAAAACATAAAAAGCAGCTGGGCGTGGTGGCAAGCGCCTGTAATCCCAGCTACTTGGGGGCTGAGTCACGAGAATTGCTTGAACACGGGAGGTGGAGGTTGCAGTTAGCTGAGATCATACTAATGCACTCCAGCCTGGGTGACAGAGAAAGACTTGGTCTCAAAAAATAAATAAATAAATAAATAAAAAATAAAGTTATAATTGTAATTACTAGTAGTATCAAATTAAATCTAACAACATCATTGCAATTCTTATAAATAATGCATAACCATAATACTTGATTAGAAATATATCTTAATGCAATGAGTGGGACAGTGAAGCATTATCTTAACACATTTGTTCAGTAAGTGAACAAATTATTGCTAGAATGAGATGGATCAGCAACAACAGTTCAATTTACATTTATTGTTTTTACAGTAAGTTCTGAGAAAACTTGGATAGGAATGAAAGATTTGTTATGGAATTGTCACTAACTTATTTAAACTTCTTTCAAGTTATAATCTGAAAATCACGAATTGATCTTTCATACAAGTATATTTTAATGATATTAGCTGGAAACTCAATTGAGTTTACCTTTAATTTTGCTCAATTGTAAACTTTGAATTGCTAAGACTTTGTTACCCAGCTGTTAGAATCATTCGTTATCTTAACATTGAAAACAATATTTCTAATTGTCTCTTTTTTTGGAGTCCCAGAGATTTTTACAACACAGAGAAATGCTTCATATTGACTTAGAATGGGTGGGAGATGTTTTTCATTTGTAAAATAAGATGAAAATGCTTGTAAATAGGGAGCAGGACCACATGACAGGCTAGCTTTCAATACCATGAAAAAGTACACAGGGTAATTGATGATCTGGAAACTGATCTCTTTAAAACCTTGTCATGCTTGCCTTTGGAAAGTCTTTACACAGCCCAGTTTGAAAGCCCTGTCCCAGATGATTTCCAAAATCCTATCATTTTATTTTGGCTATTGTTTCCCTTTTTGACTACCTTTTTCATAGCATGTACACAACAAATATATATGAGATATTAAAATAGAATTGTCTCCAAGCTGATTCTAGGATTCATTTCACAAATTGGTGAAGATCTATCATGTGTTAGGCAGTGCCCTATGTAATGCAACAAATCTCTGCCCTTGAAGGAACTTACACTGCAGGTCGTCCTTCAGTCACAATGGGATTAAGTTTTATTAAACTCACCTAAGTTGAAAATAATTATATGTCTAAAGTGTGTTTTTGATTTAGGATATCTTCAATTTATAATGGGTTTATCCAGACATAACCTCATGGTAAGTTGAGAAGTGGATTGAATGAGTATGGCTATTGCACCATCATAAAGTCAAAAAATTTTAAGTAGCCATCTTAAGTTGGGGATTTCCTGTAACGTGGATGGGACAATACAATAATGAGCATTAAATTTAATAACTAAGCAAAGCATACATTATATTAAAAGGTGATAAGTAGTATAGAAAAAAATAAAAAGCATTTAAATAGAGTATACAAATGGTGAACTGGAGCTTAAGTGGGTGTAATATTAAATAAAATGTGAATCTAATTGGGAAACTGACATTTGAATCTTTGCCTAAATGTAAAAGGATTACATTTAGCTCTTGTATTTCTTCCTAAGACCAATGTAACATAATGCACTATTAATCACAACACTATATTTCTGATTTATCATTGTTAGCCCTCTCTGGAGCACACTCTTATTCTATTTTAACTGTGGCTACAAAGTCATTAACCAATTTGATTTCAGCAAAATAATTTTTTTAGTGTAAGTATCCTACATGAAATTTATCCTTAATATAACTTTGAGGAGACTATACCTTTAAATGTCTCTAAATATGGCTGTCCTTTGATATATCAGCAATCCTCACAAAACAAATTGTGAGGGAGAGAAAGCTGAAAAAGATATTAGCTTAAAAATGAGAGTAAACTTTGAAAATGAAAACAAGTGTGACAGATATTCCCTCTCAGCACTTCTCAAATGCAAGTTGTCACTGTGAGTTAGAAAAGAGCTTTGTTTTCAGACAAAGACCTTCTTGTACAATTTACACTGTACCATCCATTGTTCTATGACTGTGAATAAATAGAATCTTGCACTCTTAGCCTGGAATTTTCTTTGTTTCCTTAAGCTTCCATCTCCCTAACTCTTATTTATAGAGATAGAATTGGGAGGCAAAACCAGTGATTCTCAAAGATTGTCCCTGAACCCTCAGAAACAATATCACACTTGTTACAAGCACAAACTCTAAGGCTCCACCCCATTAAACTTAGGAAGTGGAAACCAAAATCTGTGTTTTACAAGCCATCCAGATTATTGTGACAGACACTAAAGCTTGAGAACCACTAGAATAGGCTATATTTTATCAACACTGCAAATTGCTAATTTTAAACATCATAAAGCAGAGTCCCATATTTCCTATTCCACAGGATTCAGACGTAAATTCAAAGATTACTGATCGTGAAATCGTGAATTTTTTTTTTTTTTTTTGAAACGGAGTCTAGCTCTGTTGCCCAGGCTGAAGTGCATAAATTTAAATAATAATTTAAAATAGCTAAAAAATATGAAATGTACTTTAAAAATCTTAAATGACTGTTATCTATTGAAAAACTTGAAGTGTGAAGTGTGAAACTGAAGAACACTGAAATGTATTGAGCAGTGAAAAGATTATGTATAAAAAAACAGGTGGGCCTGATGCGGAGGCAGGCGGATCACCTGAGGTCAGGAGTTGCGATCTCGGCCCACTGCAAGCTCCACCTCCCGAGTTCACGCCATTCTCCTGCCTCAGCCTCCCGAGTAGCTGGGACTACAGGCGCCCGCCACCACGCCTGGCTAACTTTTTTGTATTTTTAGTAGAGACAGGGTTTCACCGTGTTAGCCAGAATGGTCTCCATCTACTGACCTCGTGATCCGCCCGCCTCAGCCTCCCAGAGCGCTGGGATTGCAGGTGTGAGCCACCGCCGCCCGGCCCGTGAAATGTTTTAAACACACATATGGACACACATAGTTTTGAAAGAATTAACACTCCACTGGGTTACAGATGATCCAGTGAGGAACACCGATCAGCAAACTCATCTGATATTTGAACATAAACAGCAAACCCATACAACATGTGTGCTCTTTCTATTTAGCCATTGATCTGGAAGATTTTAAGTCTATTTGAAGGAAATAAGAGACAATGATCTTTATAACTCTTTCTTATGATTAATAGTAATGTCAAAGTCCAAAAATTATTTGGAAGATTTTAATTGGGTATGTAGTAAACCTACCCACTAATTTAGGTGTAATCTTCTCCCTATAACATGATGTTTTCTCATCCAGAAACATAAACGGTTTAACTGTTTTTTGTTTTGTTTTGTTTTGTTTTTCTGAGACGGAGTCTCCCTCTGTCGCCCAGGCTGGAATCCAGTGGCGCCATCTCGGCTCACTGCAAACTCCGCCTCCCGGGTTCACGCCATTCTCCTGTCTCAGCCTCCGGAGTAGCTGGGACTACAGGTGTGTGCCACCGCATCTGGCTAATTTTTTTTTGTATCTTTCATAGAGATGGGGTTTCACCATGTTGGCCAGGCTGATCTCAAACTCCTGACCTCAGGTGATCCGCCTGCCTCCGCACCCGGTCAACCTGTTTTTTTATACATAATCTTTTCACTGCTCAATACATTTTAGTGTTCTTCAATTTCACACTTCACACTTCAACTTCTTCAAGAGATCACATTCATTTAAGATTTTTAAAGTATAATTTATATATTTTAGCTATTTTAAATTAAATTGATTTATTATACTTTCTGCTGTCATATACTATTTGGTCATTTCTGTTTAGCTTCAATCTGGTAATATTAATACTATTTTTAAATAAAAAAGTATTGTTAATTTTTGGTATACATAAGTGATGCAGTTATATCACTGTAAATAATAAAGAAGGAGAATATTAATAAAGAAAGCCCAAAGTGCAAAAACATAAGGAAAATAATTTTACAATATCAAAATTAAGAATCTCATTTCAACAAAGGAAAACACAGATAGACTGAACAAAAAAATGAAAAATTAGATGGGCAAAACTAATTTATGGTGGCAAAAATGTCAAAGAAAGATATCCTCTGGGGTGTGTAGAGCTGATTAAGAAGAAGCATAAGGGAATTTTCTGATGTAAAAGTAATATTCTGTACATTGATGGGGTGTGGATCATCCAGATGTAGGCATTTGTCAAAAATCAATAAATGTGCATTTGGGATTAGTGCATCTCATTGCAGTAAATTGTATCTTTAAAAATACTATGAATAAAATATAATCAATATTCCTCCTTCTTACTAAGACATTCTCATTACTTAAATGTGGAAAAAATTAATTGGATTACATCAAAAGTCCCTTTATGACCCTTTAATTATTGGCTGAATGTATGAAGTGAAGGAAGGCTTGTTTTTGTCATTTTTATTTTGTTGCACTGTGTTTTTACCTCTGGCATTCCTTGAGGAGAGAAAGCACTGAAAGGTGGTACAATATCCGAAACATTTTCATATCCTGCAGGAGGTGGTTCAAATAATGATGTGTTGAAAATCTAAAGAAACAAAATATTATAATCAAAAGTAAATCAGTTAAAGTTTGATTACTATAATCAAACATAAACAAATGCATATTATCTTTTATGTCAGTAGAGGGTGAATGAATCCTTCAGGATTTTGATGATAATATCAGATACCCAGCACTGTGCTAGAAGTTGTGAGGAATTCATGAGATGAATAAATCACAGACTTTGTCCTCAAAATGGTAAGATCTATTCAAGGAAACAAAGCTAAAAACCCCCACCAATAACTAAAAATCAACCAAACAAAAAACAACAATCATAAAATAAGTAAGTACTATAGAAAGAAAAGCTCAGAAGAGGTAAAAAGATACTCTTCCGAAAGGAATATTGTGTACTATAACCTGTATACTGATAGAAGGAAGAATTAGAAATTGATTTTTTGTAAGTGGCATACATACCAAGCTAGTGTAAATAAAAGCCTAAATATGTAGTTGCTTCACAGAAGGTTAGAAGTAAATTAACCTCATGAATTTCTTGAGAGAACTTGTAAGGACTAGCTTTTGATTTTGGAGAAAAATTTTAATCCCCAAATACAAAGTAACTTTGTTTGGTAATCTCAATCATTATAATAGTGCTTAATTACCTAGGAACAGAGTAAATATTAAATTTACTTTAAAAAAGTACATGATTGGGGAATCCACAATTGGCCATATCTAGATTCTCTGAACAGCATATGCACTGAAAAGAATGAAAAACACTGAACCAAATACATGTCTTTTTAAGTTTATAATTAAATTTGAAAAAACAGTAAGGAATATTCAGAAGCAAAAAAATACAATGAAAGCAAGAATCCTCAGAGGCAGCATGGAAGTTGGCTTTGCCTTAGGTGGATCTATCAAAGCCTATGGCCCCATGAAAAGGATTCAGGAGTTAGTCTAAAACTGGTTCACATAATGGAATCTAGCAGAAGACTGTGCATAAAGCTGGTCTAAGTACAACAATATCCTGGCCAGGCGCGGTGGCTCACGCCTGTAATTCCAGCACTTTGGGAGACTGGGAGCCCAAGGTGGGCGGATCACAAGGTCAGGAGCTTGAGACCAGCCTGACCAACATGGTGAAACCCCATCTCTACTAAAAATACAAAATTAGCCAGGCATGGTGGCATGTGCCTGTAATCCCAGCTACTCAGGAGGCTGAGACAGGAGAATCACTTGAACCTGCGAGGCAAGTTTGCAGTGAGCGGAGATTGCCGCCACTGCACTCCAGCCTGGGTGACAAAATAATAATAATAATAATAATAATAATAATAATAATAATAATAATAATAAAATCCTTCAGGGTTAAGGATAAATTCAAAATAAACTTGCTCCATGGAAAGTAATGGCTTAAGGTAAAGCAGGAAAAAAGGGTTCCAGATAATTCATAACCCTGCAAATTTCCATTCACTATTTATACAGTATGCCTCAAGCTAAAATATTTATTTTAAAGCAGTGCCAGGTTTGTAGTGCTCCCTGGGGCCTAAGAGAAATGATCAGGAGGAATCAGTCTTCAACTTAGCTTTAAAGAATTCCCAAATTCTAAGGGAGAAGAACTCAGAGCCACAAAATCACCAAACACCTCCAAAGTACTATGGAAAAGAACCAACAGAAAGAACAGAGTAAAATTACAGCTGCAAAGACTGTATTTATGGTATGTATCATACACATGATATTGAACTAAAATTTAAGTAAAAATTAAAGCCAGGCTGGGCACGGTGGCTCATGCCTGTAACATCGGCACTTTGGGAGGCCAAGGCAGGTGAATCTCCTGAGGTCGGGAGTTCAAGACCAGCCTGGCCAACCTGGGGAAACCCTGTCTCTACTAAAATTGCAAAATTAGCGGGACATGGTGCACCTGTAGTCCCAGATACTTGGGTGGCTGAGGCAGGAGAATCACTTGAACCTGGGAGGTGGAGGTTGCAGTGAGCCAAGATCGCGCCACTGCAGTCCAGCCTGGGCAACAAGAGCAAAACTTCGTCTCAAAAAAAAAAAAAAAAGTTAAGGCCAGGTGCGGTAGCTCATGCTTGTAATGCCAACACTTTTTGGAGGCCGAGGCAGGTAGATCACTTGAGGTCAGGAGTTCCAGAGCAAAACTTCCTCTCTACCAAAACCTCCTCTCCAAAAATGCAAAAATTAGCCAGGTGTGGTGGCACACACCTTTAGTCCCAGCTACTTGGGAAGCTGAGGCAGGAGAATCGCTTGAACCTGGGAGGCAGAGGTTGCAGTTAGCCGAGATTACACCACTTCATTCCAGCTTGGGCGACAGAGAGAGACTCCGTCTCAAAAAGAAAAACAAAAAAAACAAAAAAACAAACAAAAAAAAAACCAGTAGCAATGGAATCCATAATTCAGTAGAATATTGTCTCCCTGGTTTCGAGCAACAATTACTGTCAAACTGCAAATTTGTGTCCTACAAAATCATTCTTCCTTTGAGAATGAATATGAAAAACACATTTTTCCACCAAATTTTAACAGTTTTGGGTCGACAGGTGTTTACTTAAAACAAAGAACATTTGTAAACAATATTGTTCAATAAACAAAACAATACCATACAACAAATGAAGCCTCTAAAAGAATCTCTAAAATGATGCAAGAGAATCAGAAAGGAAAGATATTGCAAATGTGTGGTAAAAATTAAATGAGGACTGTATATGATAATAATGTATTACTATCATAATAACAAACATATTTTTCAAGTTTATGAAACAAGATTGAATTAAAATTATGCATATAAATTGGTAATATATAACGAAAGTGAAAGTATTCTAAGGTTTATATATTGTAGAAACATTGATTGAATTATGACACCAAAGCTTTAGGGGAAAAAAGGAAGAGTAAAATTCATACTAGAGGAAGGTAAAAGTGACCTAAATATTGTATATCAGAATTATAAAAAATGAAAATGGAAAAAAGAATAATTAAAAAGCATAGTATGTCAGATTAAATAAAATTAGCTGTGTACCAGTTGACAAGGAGTGAAATAAACCTAGACAAGTTTAAAAGTAACAAAACTGAAAAAGAAATACCAAACAAATATTAGCTTTAAAAAAAATTTTAGGGCAAAGTCAAATAACATTACAAAGAGATAAGGAAGGCTACTACATAAGTGTAAGTCTGTCATTTCATCAACAATTCTAATTTTGTTTACATATGACAATAGGTCCCCAAATTATAGATAACATAAATTTATGAAATTATAAATTATATATATAATATAACATAGACACCACTATAGTGAGGTGAGATAATTTAACATTTATTTCTAATTAATAAAGGAAGCAGACAAAATGAGAGCACGTTAAGGATAATGGAGATTTCAGCCAAATAATAAACAAACTCAAACTAATGTACAAATATAAAATATTACCCCCAAACAACCATCAAATTACATGTTTTTCCCAAAGAAACACAGAACATTTATAAAAATTGAGCACATGTTAGGCTCCAAAGGAAGCCTCAACAATTGTCAAAGGATTAGTGTCCTACAAACCACATTATTTGATCTCAATATATTCAATTTAGAGATCAGACCAAACAAACAACAAGAACAATGTTTACATTCAGAATTTTAAAAAAGACTTGTAAATAGTTCCAGGATCAAAGAAGAAAATACAGAAATTAAAAAATATTTAGATGCTAATCATAACTAAACTACTCCTAATCCAAATTTATGAGATGTAGTTGAAGTGGAAAGGGAAGATAAAGGGAAAATTTATGGCTCTACATACTCACATTAGAAATGAAGAGACTCAACATCAGTAAATTAAGCATTCTATTGAGGATTTTACAAAGAACAGCAACGTAAACACAAAGAAGATAAAAGAGGTAATTATAAAACAAGAACAGAATTAATAAAATATAAAGCAAAGATAGATGAGAAAAGATTGCCAAAGTCAAATTTTATTCTTTGGATACACTAGTAAATTCGACATATCCCTCTCAGGAGCAATAAGAAAATAATATAGCAAAAGTACAAATAAATAATATCAATTATCAAAAAGAGGCACATCTACAGATGCCGAACAGATTAAAAAAGATAAGAAAATACCAGGAACAACTATACTATAAATGTGAAAGCTTACATGAAATGGAAAATGCATTTTAAATAAAACTTACAAAAACTGAAATAAGAATACATTTTTTAGAAAATCGGCCAGGCACGGTGGCTGACGCCTGTAATCCCAGAACTTTGGGAGGCCGAGGCAGGTGGATTATGAGGTCAGGAGTTCAAGACCAGCCTGGCCAACATAGTGAACTCATGTCTCGACTAATAATATAAAAATTTGCCTGGTGTGGTGGCACGTGCCTGTAGTCCCAGCTACTCGGGAGGCTGAGGCAGGAGAATCTCTTGAATTGGGGAGGCAGAGATTGCAGTGAGCCGAGACCATGCCATTATACTCCAGCCTGGGTGACAAAGTGAGATTCAGTCAAAAATAAAAAAAAAAAAGTATAGTTATCTAGCCATATAACAATAAAGTCATATATCAAACAATAAAAATTGTTATATGACATAAAATTATCATATGACAAACAATAAAGCCATTTAACAAACAATAAAAATTATTATATAACATAAAATAGTCATATAACAACCAATAAAGAAATTAAACCAGTAGTTTAAATTTTTCCACAATAGAGTCAAGGCCAACTGGTTTTCCTTGAGTTGGAAAGGTTAAAGGAAGAGATAATTTAATTACAACAAAACCTATTTCAGAAAATATTAAAAGCCCAACTCATTTTAGAAGGCAAGCATAATATTGAAATTATAGCTCAACAAACAGATTGCAAACACACAGACTAAACATGCTATGAGTATAAACAGAATATATATCAATATATGGATTTAAAACTCTAATGCTAATATTACAAGTTCAAAACATGTAAGATTATTCTAACATTAGAATATCACTGAATGTGATCTTCAGATCCAGAAAGAAAAATTGCATGCTGATCTCAAAGAAAAATGTGTTTAATATAAATCCATATAGCAAAAAATTTTAGAATATGTGGAAAGGATGTACATTAAGATAACCAGAAAAATAAAACAGTAAATATCATAATTAATGGTGAAAAAGAATTAAAAGTATTTCCTTCAAGACCAGAAGAAAGTTAAGGATATCTGGTATCAAAACTTCTTTTCAACATTATACTGTATAGGTCTTGCTCAGTGCAGTAATACAAATGGGAGGGATTTGGAGATGAGGAATGGATCTGGGCAGATTTTACATTGTACTAACTAGAGCAGTAGTTATTTCCCTTTTCTGCGACTGATAGAAGCTAAAATGAAACCATATCAACTACTACTTGCCAAATCCCCACATCTTCTGAATTTCCCATGTTTTTTCTGTGATTCACATATGAACTCATCTGAATCACTCGGTAAGATTAAAAGAAAAATTATGCTGAGGTGCAATAAAAATCAATAAAGGAACAAAGTCGTTATATAAGCAGGTCTTTCAGGCAAGGGAATATTCAAACTTGTCTCACTTGATTTGCCTTTATGGTAATCAATTTTGCAGCACCGCTATGCCACACTGAATTTTAAAGCAATTTATGAGCTATTCTAACAAGAAAAGTTTTTTAATGTCAAGGAAATGACTTTTTGGCTGACTTTATCAAAGACAGATTATATTTCAGTCTTAGAGTATTTTTTACTTTTCAAAAGGCACTAGTAGCCTCAAATTATATATTCTGAGTATAACTAAAACAATATTAGTTTACGATTTCTGTTTACATTTTGTGACATAAAGTCAATACATAGTTCAATCTTTATGGTATGTTATTTCTGCATAATCAAAGGTGAAACAATGTCTCTGTATACATTAAAAATATTTCTGGGGAGGCCGAGGCGGGCAGATCACGAGGTCAGGAGATCAAGACCATCCTGGCTAACACGGTGAAGCCCCGTCTCTACGAAAAATACAAAAAAATTAGCCGGGCACGGTGGCGGGCGCCTATAGTCCCAGCTACTGGGGAGGCTGAGGCAGGAGAATGGCGTGAACCCGGGAAGCGGAGCTTACAGTGAGCCGAGATCGCGCCACTGCACTCCAGCCTGGACGACAAAGCGAGACAGCGTCTCAATAAATAAATAAATAAATAAATAAAATAAAATAAAATAAAATAAAAAATAAAAAATTCTGATAGGATCCACAAAATACTAATCATATTTGGCTGGGAGCAGTGGCTCACACCTGTAATCCCAGCACTTCGGGAGGCCAAGGCGGGCAAATCACGAGGTCAGGAGATCGAGACCATCCTGGCTAACACGGTGAAACCCCGTTTCTATTAAAAATACAAAAAATTAGGCGGGCGTGGCGGTGTGCGCCTGTAGTCCCAGCTGCTGGGGAGGCTGAAGCAGGAGAATGGCGTCAGCCTGGGAGGCGAAGCTTGCAGTGAACCGAGATCGCACCACTGCACTCCAGCCTGGGAGACAGAGCGAGACTCCGTCTCAAAAAAAATACTAATCATATTTGTTGCCTATAGGATGGAGAACTTGTCTGTTTTGTGTAGGGGTATAAAAGGAATCACAGTTTACCACATAGCTCAGCTGTGAATTTTTATTCATACCAATTAAATTATACTGGGAGATGGAAGATAGTAAGAGAACATGGTGGTTGGGGCCAAGGGATGAACAGGGAGTTGACTTGTCACAATGTCAATAGATAATGCCTGCATCTGAAATAAAAGCATATAAGCATGTAGTTTACAGAAATAGATGTAAATATCAAAAGAATGAACTTATAGTTGAATAATGATTGCCTCTGGAAAGAGGAAAACAGAGAAAAAGCAAGGCACTCAGAATTATTGTGTACATATATGAGTATATATATATATATATATATGTACATTGTGAGATTATGTACATATATAACTTGGATAAAAATAAAAAAGAACTAATGGTGTAATTTTAAAAAATTAAGAAACTAGGTATCTAACACTATCGGAAAATTTCCCAAATGAAACTTTTACATGATTCATTTTGTATTCTCTAAAAGGCTTTGGTAACATTATGAATGCTCATAATACAAAAATAAGTAATGCAATAAAATAATCAATGATACAATCAAAACTGGAAAGTGAGGAGGAAGGAAAAAAGAAGAAAAAAAAGACAACATTAGCAAGACTCCACCTTAAAAAAATAAACTAAAATATATTATATGTTTGTTCTTTTCCACATTGTACCTAGACAATTCCCAAATTTGACAGATCAAAACAGAGGTTTAAGCATATGTATACTTTTTAACATTGTCAATATTTTATATCTTTAAATAATTTTTCGGAACATATTTAAAGATCCCTTGGTATTTAACAGTATAGATATGCCACCCCTTATTTAACAACCTGAGGCTCTATGATGTGTAATGGTATTCCATTTTAAATATAATATATTTTAGGGGTTTTTTGTTTGTTTTTCTTTTTTTTTTTTTCTTTTCTTTTAAAGTGGAGTCTTGCTATGTTGTTCAAGCTGGTCTGCAACTCCTGGCTCAAGCTATTATCCTATCTCAGCCTCCCAAGTAGCTGAGATTAGGGGAACATGCCACCACGCCTGGCTTAATAATATTTTTTAAAGTTTTATTGTTAACTACTATAATTGAGAACAGCAGTTAATATGAAAAGCTCCAATCACATTAGGAAATTCGGTATGGAATTATATCACTGACTGTAAAACATAACAACATATTTATCATTAAGAAGAGACTGATTCATTAGTCAATAAAAGGAGGTTATTGACCTATAATGAAAAAAAATTAAATATGTACTTACATCACATGACATTTTCAGTTCACTGATTAAACTGGACATATTTCAAGCTATAGTAATTAAGAGTGCCCAGTAATAAAAGGACTAAAGGAAGTTACCTAAATTGAAATGGACTCTTCTACATACGGTAGCTCCAAAACTAAGGTATGTTAAGTAGGGATGAATGTATGTTATATTTTGTGATCTTTCATATTGAACATATCATCATAATAAATATATCAATTTATCTGCATTGTCTTCTGTTTCTTAAGTATATGCCCCAACTTGCAAACAAGATTGCAAATTCTTTAAATACCATGCTAAAGACCTTGCCTCCAAACTTGTCCTCTCCAAATGTCCACACACAAATTCTTCGCACAGAGCTCAACCTGATCAATTGAGACATAATCATTAAGTACCAATAAAAACTTGCTGGGTCAAACTGCATACTGGATCCCTGAATTTCCCAGCAACTCCAAATCTGTGCAGTGTCTTTATAAATTAAACATATCAAAAATGTATCTGTTGGCCAGGCGCGGTGGCTCATACCTGTAATTCCAGTACTTTGGGAGGCTGAGGCAGGTGGATACCTGAGGTCAGGAGTTCAAGACTACCCTGGCCAACATGGCAAAACCCCATCTCTACTAAAAATACAAAAATTAGCTGGGCATGGTGGTGCACACCTGTAATCCCAGCTACTCAGGAGGCTGAGGAAGGAGAATCACTTGAACATGGGAGGTGGAGGTTGCAGTAAGCCGAGATGGCACCACTGCACTCCAGCCTGCCCGACAGGAGTGAAACTCAATCTGAAAAAAAAAAAAAAAGAATCTCTTTTATAAAGTGTCTCTTTTTATGCTTGTAAGTTCACAAGTATATCATATTTGATATTAGTGTGTAGTACTAAAAACAAGAAAACAGCAACTCTTATCAAGCATTAATTTCTCAGAATCTTTCTAAAACACATAAAACTCAAACATCATAGGAAATTAGTTGACATGGATAATGAGATAGTAAAGGTATTCACAAGATCCAATAATACTGATTTCTATTAATATTTAGAGATGGGATAGAACATTATTTCATAGAAGTATTTGAAAAAGAATAAATGGGGGCAATGTTTCTTTTATTTATTTATTTGTTTATTTATTACCTCATTTCCATCTTCATTAATTATTGAGATGTAGTTGGGATGAGTCTTATTTGGGTAGGACAACAGGACATCATAATGAGTTAGCTCAACAGAATCCAGGCCAAATTCTTTCCACTGGGATTGAATTTGCTTTGCAAGTTGAAAGTTTTGTTCTGTTCCTGCTAAATGTGGTATCTGTGTAAAATTACTGGTGAACAAAAATTGAAACTGGTTAGATATTAATGTTTAATCAACTTTTATTCCAAATCAACAAAATAAAGCAGAGTTACACAAAAATACTTTGAAATGTGGTATGTTAAAACATTAAAGTGGTACTATTATTGCATGAAATAGATTTTCAAAGTCTGCTTTGAAATTTTTATGTTCTAATTTGTACTAAATCAAGAGAAAAATTGATCTTTGTATCATTATGTGTAATCCTATGACTATAGCATCATATGGTAGATTAATAAAGTGTCATATTCTTTCTTAAGACCTATACTTCTTGGAACTTACATGGAATTATCTGTCTATATCACTGTGTAAATTATTGAAACAGACAAAAATATTTTATCCCAAAGACCAAGGTGTGACATGGCAAGAATTACTAATAATTACACTTATTTAAATAGTGAGAATTATACACAAGCGATAAACTGCTTGACTAGCAACCATTTATAAAGTATCTTCATCAAAGAATAATCTGAACATACTGACACAAGTTCAGAATGAATCTCTTGCACTTCATCTATAATATAGAGTAACACACTTAAAATCAATGACAGTAATTAGTCTGAAGAATAATATCTTTAACAAAGAAATTATGTGGCCAAAATTTGGCTACCAGGAATATTTTCAGTAGACTAATTTCTCATTTAATATATTTAGATTCTGGTGCTTTTGATTGTCTTAAATTTCTCCCTCCTGGGAAATTTCTTGTTTCCCTGAAGAGCTCATTGGTTAGTATTTTTAACTTAAGCCCTTAAATATAAGACAAGACATTATGTAGTATGAAAATATGTATATATATATATAGTTCATAAACTTTTGGAACTTCATAAATTTCTAGTTTTAAATATGTAGTTTTATAAAATCAACATAATTCCATCCTTACGATGACTTTAAAAAAGAAAAAAACTAATAACCAACACGGCTATGATAATCCCAGTTTCAAGTTTCATTCTACCATGTGTTTTAATTTTTTTCATTTGGTGAATCAACAATGAATTAAAGTAACTCAATTTTTTAAAACTGGAATTTCCTGTAACTTGTTTACTTTTAATAATTATATTAAAGTTATTTAAATTGTATTTATAAAAATAGTATTAAAATCCTCATTTGGTAAATGTTTAGGGGCAAACTATCTTACACAGAATTTCTAATATGGAAAATATTGTAACAAAAAGAGCACAAACATAAGAGCAGCTAAGGAGTCTCTATCCCTTATCAGTGAGCACCTGCAGGGAAAACAGAAAAACAGCCAACATGTCACTATTTTCTTGAATATTACAAAGATCACAAACTGCAATGTAACTAATGTAGGATGCAGATTTCCCCAAGTGCCAGCTATACCTCTGTCCCTACAAGCAAAAGGAATTACTATGGAGAATCTTGAACCTACTCACAAAAAAGCAGGAGAAAATCATTATAAGGCTCTGCTACTATAAGTGAATTTTCCTGTAACAGTCTTGTCACTACCAACTAGGAAACAACATTTTGCTGTTATCAGGGTTGGCACTCACTCATTTGAACAAAACACGTCCTGGAAAAGATTAGTACGAAAAAAAGATCCAATGCAAATACTAAATAAAATAATTAGCATAAATCCTGTAAGTGGTATAATACAGGTGTTATCATTAACTCAGTATGTAACCCCAGCTGTGTCTTGAATTTCTCATCTGTACATGGGGAGAACATCACTATCTCGTTACTTCACAAAGACTTGAGGCTCAATTAGATTGTGTATTAAATAGCACTTCTCAATGATTTTAATCACTTGAGATGTTGTGTCACAAGTGATTGAACCTACTAGAATATCAAATTTTGCAAAAAATAAATAAATAAGAATAATAATAAAAAAATGCGAATTTACAAATTTTCCCAAATAGCCAAATTCTGTTTATAGATCACTGTAGGGCTGAGTTTAAATGTGTTTCTAGTATTGTCACATTATCTCAATTTTTTTTTTGCTTTTTTTTTTGTAAGAGGCAGAGTCTCATTCTGTTGCCAGGCTGGAATACAGTGGTGGAATCATAGCTCACTAAAACCTGGAACTCCAGCCTCCTGAGTAGATAGGACTACAGGCACATGCCATCATGCCCAGATAATTTTAAGAAATATTTTGTAGAGACAGAGTCTCGCTATGTTGCCCAGGCTGGTCTCAAACTCCTGAACTTAAGGAATCTGCCTGCCTTGTCCTTCCAAAGGGCTGGGATTACATGGGTGAGCCATTATGCCCGACTACATTTCTCAGTTCTTAAAGAGAGCTATTGTTATTTCTGTTTTAGTACATTTCATCTTGTTTACAAATAATTTGGCAATGTTTCCAAGAGTTAAAGATGACTTGAACGCATTTAGTAAAAGGTGGAATTAGCTGAGCATGGTGGCATGTGCCTGTAGTGCTACCTGCTAGGGAGGCTAGAGCTCCAAGCTTCAGTGAGCTATGATTGTGCCACTGTACTCCAGCCTGGCAACAGAGTGAGACCCTGTCTGAAAAATGAAACAATAATAATAATAATAATTGAGATAATGTGACAATACTTGGAACATATTTAAACTAGTCTGACAGAGATCTACCAGTTGATTTTTGCTATTCTGAAAAATGTGTAAATTTTTATTCTTACCTTTTTTTTAAACACAATTTGATATTCTAGTATCAATAAATGATTTGTGACACACATCTCAAGTGATGAAAAAATTGAGAAGTATAGTTTAATATGTGATTTCATTGGGCCTATATATCTGTATTCAAATACAGACCAGTAAAATTCTGAGACCAAAAGTCTAAAACACCTTTTAAAACAATCTTATCTTGCAAAACAAGGTGGAAAAGGAAAAATCCCTCTAGAGATGCAAAATGGTAAACAGATCTGTGAATTCAACTGGATGTTTTCAAAGAAGGGAAAACACATACAACCCTGTACCTCAAGGCAGAATGAAAAAAAAAAAATGCTCCTAATTAATCCTCCCATTCACTACTGAGGCAGATATTTCAGAAACAGTGGGGGCTTTTACGAGCAGAACAAAGGATTATAAAGAGGGACAAGATGGAAGGTCAGAGGCTTTAATAGTCCCTGACCCATGGGTATATTTTAATTAAAAGCTCTCTGAGGGACAAATGGCAAATTGGAAATCTAGAGAGTTTAGGAGGCTTCTGGAGATTCTGTGGTCCTTGGAGGAATGAGAGGGAATTCTTTCAATTTCTTTATTTTGTGTGTTTATGCTGAATATCATCCGGGTAGAGGAGCTTGGTTAGGGACATGGAGAATAAACAAGAAGCTGAGTGCTTAATCTTGCTTGACAGTCCAAAAAGAGAAATAAAGAAAGGCATTTATTTTTCTTCTTTGTTGGTCAATCTATGTCACAAGTTAGTGTTACAGGTAGTTAGACAGGAGCAAGGCAGGAGAGGTCTCTCCCCCGGACCCACTAGAATGTCAGGTGATTGTTTGGTTCAGCAATTATCGCATTGTGTTGTTCGGTTCAGTAATTATCGCATTGTCTCTAAAAATGATTCGGCAGTGTCAGGGAGAGGCCAGTTCTTGATGGTCCCCACCTGCTAACACCAAACTGTTAACTGAATGCAGACTCCAGGGAGAAGCAACTTCCTGGACATGCGTGTTAGAGACAAAAATGGTATAGTATAATCTTCCGGGTACACTCCACCAGAAAAAGGAAGAGCACCTCAGATGGGCCTGTGTATACTTTCCTACACACATTGCAGGCGCTCACTTCCCAAGGGTTAGCAGGGCTCTGCACATGAGGGCAGCCCAACCTAAGGGAAGAATCATGGGAAAGAGGCAAGTTTAAAAAAGTCCTAGGATCACAGTTAAGTGGGGCACTTGGCCTCTCACCTTCATGTGCCTGCTTGGCTCTCTTCCAAGCGTACCTTCCTTTCTTTCCTGTTATAAGGCCTTTCAAAATAAACTTCCATTCCTGCTCTGGAACTTGCCTCGGTCTCTTTTTCTGCTTTTGCCCCGAGTTGAATTCCTTCTTCTGAAGAAGCTACTGACTTTATGGATAGGCTACCAGTAAATTGGAGTAACTTGCATCTCTTCCACCACTAACATTAGGAAAGGAAGAAAGCTGAAACGGCAGCTCTGTCCAGGAGTAAAGACCATACCTTGCCAGACCTCCACTTTTATTATACCTACTATATATTATTATAGTAGAAAAAGCGCAGAGGAGGAGTTTCCACAAAGATAAAGAAGTTCGAGCTTCAGAGTCTCACATTTAAAAGGTCCTTTCAAAGACCTCAAAGTTATCCTATCAATTTTTATTTATACTTTTAATTCTGCTGTAATTAATACAAATATATATGTGTTTGTATGATTATATGTGTGCACATCTATGCACACCTATGTGTGTGTGTGTAAAATGGTCTTTTAGAATTACAACCTTTATTCACCAGGGAATCCTGCAATCATTAGAAGGACTTCAAGTATTTTTTGACACATGAGCTAAGTCAATTTGTAAAAATTCACAAAAGGATCTCATGCTTTGAAAAAAACAAATATTCTGGGCTGGGTGCAGGGACTCACGCTGGTAATCCCAGCACTTTGGGAAGCCGAGGTGGGCAGATCACCTGAGGTCGAGAGTTTGAGACCAGCTTGACCAACATGGAGAAACCCCGTCTCTACTAAAAATACAAAATTAGCTGGGTGTGGTGGGACATGCCTGTAATCCCAACTACTCAGGAGGCTGAGGCAGGAGAATTGCTTGAATCTGGGAGACAGAGGTTGCAGTTTGCTGAGATCATGCCATTGTACTCCAGCCTGGGCAACAAGTGCAAAACTCCATCAAGAAAGAAAGAAGAGAGAAAGAGAGAGAGAAAGAAAGAGAGAAAGAGAAACAAAAGAAAGAAAGAAAGAAAGAAAGAAAGAAAGAAAGAAAGAAAGAAAGAAAGAAAGAAAGAAAGAAAGAAAGGAAAGAAAAAAAGAAAGAGAAACAAAAGTATTCTAATCAATTATATATAGTAATTCTACATAAGTATTTTCTTTTCAGTTGCTTTTTCAATTTACTTATTTATCTCTTTTGTTCTACACTGAAAACAGCTATTTCAGGAAGTAGGGAACTAGTTTTTAAAATATGCCAAATATATGCTCTTTGACTTCATTCATATCATAATAAGATCATTATTCCCATTTTACAGATGTGGAAAAGAGAGCTCAGAAAGTTTAAGTATTCATCTAAAGTATTAATAGACAAAGATAGAATTCAAACTCAATTCTAACTCAAAGTCTTTTTTTTTTTTAACTGAAATGCACTATCTTTCTCTAAAGCATGAATCAGCAAACTAGGTTCCACTGGCCAAATCTGGCCCACTAACTGTTTCTGTATAGTCCACAAGCTAAGAATAGTTTTTATATTTTAAATCGGTTTTAAAAATAATAATATTTTTGACACATCAATTATATGAAATCCAAATTTCAGTGCCCATAAGAAAAGTTTTATCAGAACTGACAGACTGTTTATGTATTTTCTATGACTTCTTTTGTGCTGCAATAGTAGAGCTGACTAGCTGTGACACAGATCAGCTGGCCTACAAAGGATGGCCCTTTTACAGAAAAAGTTTGCTGACTCCTGCTCTAAACCTCTGTAATGACAAACTTTAGCTGAAAGTATAGTCCTCCTCAGATGAAATGTGATACAAGATCTTTAATAAATATAACTTTAAGGAAAAAAGGCCAGTTCCTATATATAAAATATTGGACCAAAACAGAATGATAAATTTTTCTAACAACTTGTCCGTATAAACTTTTGAGAAAGTGCTTACTGTAAGAACTTCTTGATGTTCTCAGCTTTCAGTTCATCCAAAAATGCTTTCATATTATGCTTTGGAGTAATGTTAGTAGCTTCACTGGAGGATTTTATAAACCATCCTGAAAAATACATCCAAAAATAGGCATGAGATATGAGCCTACAGATAGGATTTATTATTCATTATTGTTGTATGTATCATTTGTAAAACACAAATTATCAACATTACTTCTGACATTGAGATTTTCCTGAAGTTTAATTTCTCTTGCTTACTTTCACTGAAAAAAAAAATCATGCAAACAGATTTTTAAGTTACAAACCAAATGAAAAATATTTTTTATCTAACATCAATGATAGGTATTGCTGTTATTCTAAGAAATGTTTTATGAGATAATGAGTACCAAAATAAAATGACATTAATGTTTCAACTAATGGGTATGAACAAGATCTTCTGAAAATGAAGGCAAAAAGGAGATCCACCTTCTACCTTCATAAAGCTTCTATCTTCCTCTGCTGACTCAGAATAAGCATTTAATACATTTTTATGATGAATTAACCATGAATATATTTCAAACATATAAATTATTTCCAAGTGTTGAAGGCAATTCAGACTTCTAATTTTCTCTGTTTCTGAAACTACAACAAACTGCTGTGAGAATTTGTGTTTCCAGTGAAGTAGGCTTGAGAAATCCAAGTTCAGACAGCTACAATGAAACTGCAATTTACCCAACCTCTCTGCCAGACAACCAGTGCATGCATAAGCAGCCAGAAGCAATGGATAGCTAGATCCTGCAATCATTAGACCTTACAGTTGGCTTTTAACCTGAAGGAAATAAGGCAATATTCCAGGGTTTATTTAGAGAAATTACAGGATCTGGGAATAAAATAGTTACAAAATTAGCACCCAACCAGCTTTCGTGGAGCTTTCCAATTATAATTATGCTAGTTCTTAATCGCATGCATACAAATGGACATACATATATATATGCATATTAAAATACATGCAAACGGAAATAAGATTCCACCTGTGCATAAAACAAAAAGACTTGGATTAGAGTGAGGGATCAAGAAACAACACACTGAGGATGAGATGCTTGAACTGAGATCTGAAAAATGAACACGATAAAGAGGATGGAGGCCTGTAGCGGGAGGGGAGAGCAGAGAATCCTAGGGGGTGCGGGGCGGGCATCAATAAAGAACTCTTCTGTGTCAGCCACTGAGCAGGGAATACAGGCACGGAAGTGAGGGCAATACCAGGAAGACTAAAATCCTTTTAAGAGATGAAGAATGTTATGAGCACAGTGTGTGGTTCAAAAATCTTTTAGCAACCCCAAGGTGAAGCTAGTGGAAGAGACTGAATTTGTTTAAACCTATCTGGTCCATGCTCTGTTCTTCTAAATCCCAAAAGAGGGTCAAGAATTCCGAGCAGGAGTGAACTACCTGGTGATACCTTAGACTAGTCCTGTGCATTAAAGTCCAATGAGGAGCATCTTGGTAAAAGAAGAAATAAAGTGGCGAAAATCCCAGTACTGTGCTAGGAGATTTACATGCTATATTCTTTACTATTTCAATAATTTGCAGATAATATTATCCTCATCATAAAATAGGGAAACTAACGCTGAGAGGGACTCGGTAATTTGTTCAAGGTCACTAAAAAGTGGCAAAGTCAAAATTGGAATTTAATAAAAGAGTCTGAGCTCGCCTGTGCTGTTCTGCTTTTTTTTTTTTTTAGAAAGTAAGATTAAGTCTGCAAATCAGTACACAGGAAAAACCGCAAAAGACCTGCTGGTAGAGATCTGTCCGGATCGCTGACCTGGTTCACACAGTTCCCAAACTTGCCTCTGTTACTTCCAAGGAAGAAAGAATGCACTGAGAGAAAAAAAAAACAACAACAACAAAAAAAAACTTCCTTTGCAGCAATGTCCTGAATTCTACCGTACACCTGAAACAGTACGACCCGATAAAAATCTTAAACAAGTCTTGGTGCGCAGCTCCCTGGGCGGCCTGGTTCAACAGCCCTCAGAGGTTGGCGCTCGTCCTAAACCCTTAAAAGTGCCTTGTCTTGCAGGGCTTCCAGCACGTGGAACCTTCCTACGCCTAGTTTCAGGTTCTCTCTGTCCTACCCTCAACCTGAGTGACTGTCCTCCAAGCAACTTGTGGAGAACTCAGCCCTGCACCGTTCCCAGCTACCCTCCTCCTAACTCGAGGGGTGCTCACCCCACATTACCCCGACCTTAATCGCCGCCCCTGGGGAAGACCAGCAACGGGACCCCACTCCGCAGCCGACCCGCGAGTCCCGGAGCCGCAGCACCACAGGGAAGACTCCGAGGTTTGCTCGGCGAGGCGCGCCCCTACCGAAGAGGAAGCCGAGGAGAAAGAAGCCACTCGCCAGCACCAGTGCCCCAGCGCACAGCCAGCGCGGGCGGCGCGCGGTGGCCACAGCCGTGTCGGTTTCGTGCAGGAGATTCCACATCTTAGCGCGAGCGGAGTCGGCCTCCCGGGACCCGCGCCTATGCTGCTGCTCCACTGCGCGCCCTCCGCCCACCACGGCGGGGTAAAGTCTCTCTCACACCAATGCCTCGCTTATCCGCCCTGGAGGCTGGAATTCGCTCCCGACCCTGGGGTCCAGTTTCTCCCCGGTAGCAGTGTTTCTAGAGTGAACTGAACCAATCGGAGCGCGCGAGAGGCAACATCTGCCTTCAGGAGAAGGAAACCCGGCCCCTTTCGAGAGGCGCCTTAAAAAAAAAAAAAAAAAAAAAAAGTTTCTTGGAAAATGTACAGCTCTTGCTCAAAAATGAGAGGAAGAGACTCTCCTCTCTCCACTCCTATAATTATGAGGAACTTTTATCCAGCTCTGACATTCTGTAAAATCTTTACAATACTCTACTGAATTAAAGTAGAGCAGAGAAAGCCTCGCTTTTTTCCATAGTGAGGAATGGTTGTCATCAGCGTAAATCACCACCAGGCCCTCTTTCCCAGTGAATATTATTGTTATTAATAAACATGCAGGGTATTATCCTCCACTTATATTACAAAACAATTTTTTAAAGAAACAGGCTGGGCGTGGTGGCTCACCTGTAATCCCAGCACTTTGGGAGGCCGAGACGGGCAGATCACGAGGTCAAGAGATCGAGACCATCCTGGTCAACATGGTGAAACCCCGTCTCTACTAAAAATACGAAAATCAGCTGGACGTGGTGGCGGGCGCCTGTAGTCCCAGCTGCTCAGGATGCTGAGGCAGAAGAATCGCTTGAACTCGGGAGGCGGAGGTTGCAGTGAGCCGAGATCGCGCCACTGCACTCCAACCTGGCGACAGAGTGAGACTCTGTTAAAAAAAAAAAAAAAAGAAAGAAAGAAATAAAGAAAGGAAGGAAGGAAGGAAGGAAGGAAGGAAGGAAGGAAGGAAGGAAGGAAGGAAGGAAGGAAAGAAGGAAGGAAGGAAGGAAGGAACTTTATTTTCATATCCCAGTTATGTCTGGCTACTGTCTTACGTAATAGACATAAAATCAATCTTGGTTGAATAAACCAGATGAATCAATCATACAAAATTCCATACCTGCTATAAATTCTTAATAATAATAATAGTGATATTTCGAGGGAGAGAATAACTACATGCTTTTTAAAATAAACTGTGTTCTTATAATCCGTGAGAGAATCCGTGAATTGACTAAGAGTACTTTATGGAAGCACTGCTTTTAACAGAACCATGAGATACAGGTAAAATTTGACCCAGTGGAGATGAGAAGAAACACTAGGGGTGGGGGACCAGCTGAGTGGGCAAAGGAAGAAAACTCAAGGTATATTCAAGGAATAGCAAACAGTTTGCTTTGAGAAAGGGAAAGCACAGTATGAGTTAAGTGGAGAAAGATGGGATAGATTGTACAGTCTTGGGTCCTTCGATGAAGACTTTCTGAGCAAAGTGAAAAATTTGGGAAAATTAATTTGTCAACAATGAACCATGACAACTCCTAGATGACCTAGAGCAGGAAAGAAGGGAATTTCTTCATGTCTTTCTAACAAAATCCTGAATGTACTATATCTTTCCTAATGTTCCTATTGTCAAATCTCATCAGAGATAGCTAATAAGAGTGACTAATATTTAAAGAGCACTCATTATGAGTGATGCATGCTATGTATGTCACCTCATTTAGTCACCATTGGTACCCTGCAAGGTTTGTTAATTGATTAACTTTTGTGGAGTGCTAAGGAGTTAAAATGAAAAATGGGTTTAGCTGCCAGGAACAGAAACAGGGGTAGACGTAGATGGGAATGAATGTTCCAAGAATAGGGTCAACTGCAAATGGCTCACTTAGCTCCCAAGCATCCTGTTACAAGCACCCAGCTCACAGCCCATCTGTACCCAAGCATCCTGTCTGCAAGCATTCAGCCTAAGGAGCACCCTTATAAAACTCCACTCCAGTCCCTGCCTCTTTGCAGACAGCCTTCCTCTGCTGTCTGGCCAGTTGCTCCCTTGCAATGGGTCTCCCCTTTTCTCTAAATAAATATGCCTTTCTAAACTCATTACTGTCTTGGTATTAAGATAAAATTCTTTTACTATCTGCATGCCAGCCTCACACAGTTGTTGACCATGACAACTTTCTCAAGAAAACAATTGGCAGATGTTTGTTTTCTGAATCCCCCCGATAAACATTAGGCCATACTATACTTCCTTCTTTAACTATTGGAAAAAGATTGAAGATGACTCTTCATGTCAGAATTTGTAGAAACAAACATGAATTAAATCAAAGTATTATATTAATCTATGAGGTGTGTTCTAGAAAAAAATTAAAATATTTTTAATTCCTCTTATTTCCAGCCTTTTACGCATATTTGCCTTTGAAAAATACTTAGTCAAGAAAAATCACTGGCTACTTTATTTATTAAATAAATTATTAAATAATAAATTTTAAAAATTTAATATTTAATAAATAAATTATTAGTCAAAATCTGGCTTTGTCACCTCAAACTCCTGGGCTCAAGCAATCCTCCCACCTCAGCCTGCCAAGTAGCAGAAGCTACAAACACCAGCCACCATGCCTTACTCATTTAAAAAATTTTTTTGTAGAGACAGGGTCTTGCCGTGTTGCCCAGGCTGATCGTGAACTGGTCACAAGCAATCCTCTTGTCTCAGCCTCCCTAAGCCCTGGGAATAAATACATGAGCCACTATGCCCAGCCTCCTTGGCTACTTTGTAATCTGTAAACATAGCATTCTTGAACTCTAAACTGCATGCTAAATAACACAACTTTAGAAGATAAAAATTCTAACTTATTTCTCCAAGTAATTTGATTTTTTAAAAATTTCAATCTTTTTAAATTGGGAGTGATTACATAGCATAGGCATTTATATTTGTTGAATTATTTTTGTCATACGTTAAAAATATGTTTACTTTATTGTATATAAAGTATAAATTTAAAAATTGATTTAAACAAAAATATAGGGCCATAGATAAATAAGAATGTTCCCTAATGATTCATCTGAATTCCATTGTTCCAAGTAATTAATTATCATTCTCCTTATGCTAACTTTACCTAAAGTAGGGGAATATTTGCAGAGGGAACTCTGTAGACAAATTTCTTTGCTTTGGAATTTTGAAAAATAGAAAATGTAGTAATACTGTTTCCAATTTAATGATGAAATGGAGTAATAACTGAACATATTTTAGGAAAAAATGCTTGTAATATTTAAATAAAATATATTTTTTTCCTCTGTTAATTTTTATTACTAAAATAAAATGCTTTTTTTTCTTTTCTTTTTTTTTTTTTTGAGACGGAGTCTCACTCTGTCGCCCAGGCTGGAGTGCAGTGGCCAGATCTCAGTTCACTGCAAGCTCCGCCTCCCAGGTTTACGCCATTCTCCTGCCTCAGCCTCCCGAGTAGCTGAGACTACAGGCGCCCGCCACCATGCCCGGCTAGTTTTTTGTATTTTTTTTTTTTTTTTTTAGTAGAGACGGGGTTTCACCATGTTGACCAGGATGGTCTCGATCTCTTGACCTCGTGATCTGCCCGTCTCGGCCTCCCAAAGTGCTGGGATTACAGGCTTGCGCCACCGCACCCGGCCTTTTTTTTTTTTTTTGAGATGGAGTCTTGCTCTGTTGCCCAGGGTGGAGTGCAGTGGCATGATCTCGGCTCACTGCAACCTCCGCCTCCCTGGTTCAAGCGATTCTCCTGCTTTAGCCTCCTGAGTAGCTGGGACTACAGGTGTGTGCCACCACACACAGCTAATTTTTGTATTTTTAGTAGAGGCAGGGTTTTACCATGTTAGCCAGGATGGTCTTGATATCCTTGACCTCGTGATCTGCCTGTCTCGGCCTCAGAAAGTGCTGGGATTATAGGCGTGAGCCACCTTGCCTGGCCAAAACACTTATTTTTTGATGTATACGGAAGTGTAAAAATTAAGAAGCTCAAGTACTGTTGCGGGAAGTCAGGGACCCCCAACGGAGGGACCAGCTGAAACCACGGCAGAAGAATATAAATTGTGAAGATTTCATGGGCATTTATTAGTTTGCCAAATTAATACTTTTATAATTTCTTACACCTGTCTTTACTGTAATCTATGAACATAAATTGTGAAGATTTCATGGACACTTATCACTTCCCCAATGAATATCCTTGTGATTTCCTATGTCTGTCTCTACTGTAATCTCTTAATCCCGTCACCTTCTTTGTAAGCTGAGGAGGATGAATGTCGCCTCAGGACCCTGTGACTGTGTCAACTGCACAAATTGTAGAGCATGTGTGTTTGAATATGAAATCTGGGCGTCTTTAAAAAAGAACAGGATAACAGCCATGTTCAGGGAACAAGGGAGGTAACTTTGAACTGGCCACCGGTGAGCCGGACAGAACAGAGCTATATTCCTCCTCTTTCATAAGCAAATAGGAGAAATATCGCTGAATTCTTTTTCTCAGCAAGGAACATCCCTGAGAAAGAGAATGCTCCCGGAAGGTAGGCCTATAGATGGCCCCTTTTCAGATGTCCTGTCTTTTATAGCCGAAGCCGATGGGATGAAGGGATGAAATAAGCCCCGGTCTCCTATAGTGCTCCCAGGCTTATCAGGTGGACAAAAATTCCCACCTAATAAATTTTGGTCAGACAGGTTATCTGCTCTCAAACCCTGTTTCCTGATAAGATGTTATCAACGACAATGCCTGTGGGAAACTTCATTAGCAATTTTAATTTCACCTCATCCGGTGGTCCTATTATCTCGCCCTGCCTCCATTTGCCTTGTGATATTTTATTACCTTGTGAAGTATGTGATCTCTGTGACTCACACCCTATTCGTGCACTCTCTCCCCTTTTGAAAATCGCTAATAAAAACTTGCTGGTTTTAGGGCTTGGGGAACATCACGCATGCTGCCGACATGTGATGTCTCCCCCAGACACCCAGCTTTAAATTTCTCTCTTGTGTTCTTTCCCTTTATTTCTCAACCCAGCCAAGACACTTAGGAAATAGAAAAGAACCCATGTGAAACATTGGGAGCGGGTTCTCCTGATAAAGTACCATTTTATACCCCTCTGTCCTTTCCCTTAACATGTCACCATCCAGATGTGAATACCATCAACATTTTGGTAGTAATTATTTGAGACATTTTTCTTCAAATACACACAATACTTCAAATGAAAAATGAAATCATGCTATGCCTTTATTTTTATTTTAAGAAAACTTTTAATTAACATATACATACATAAAATGTACAAGTTTTGAGTGTACAGCTTGATGAGTTTTTAC